ATTTCTCGCAGGACATGCCAGCCAGCCCCTCATGCCACGCAGTGTTCAGCTGGTCTGGCCAGCAGTTTCCGAAGCCAGAGTCACAGCCCGTGATGAGAGTACTGTGTCTCGGGGTGCTCACCACCTGCCTCTCCGGTGCCGCACACGAGGTAGTACAGGCCCACGAGGACAGCGCAGGTATAGCAACATGTTGTTGGCGGAGGCCCTTGAGGGGCGGGGGCGGCCTCTGACTCAGCACAGCACACAGCAGCGGGCACTAGTGTGAGAGCAGCAGCAGCGCAGCCTAGGACAGCAGGGAAGGAGAGGGACAGGAGAGAGAAAGCCATTGTTGCCAACCCTGATAGGGGTTGTTAAGAAGTCAGCCAAGGTGGCCAAGGCAGCCCCCAGATATGGGGTGGGTCCTGGATATGATGTTTGAGCTGAGACCTGAAGACCTGGCACCTGTTAAGGAGGGGTGGACAGGGCTCCTGATTACAGGACGGCGTCAGCCCCACGAAAGGGTAAGCGTCACTGGACTGCCTGTGCTGCTGTGTCTTCCTGGGCGAAAGAACAAGACCAGAACAGGTGTGGGGGGCTGGAGAGGTGGGAAGCAGTGGGCCTTGGAGTCCTGTGAGTTCAGGACACGTGCTGCTCTTCATGCTGTTGGCCGGGGAACCCACAGCGGTGATATACTGTGGGCAGCTGTTGGTTATAATGGGCATCTAGACACCTGCCAGCTACAGGGGAAAGAACGGCTGTGCATGTGGGGAGCCCAGACTGAAGGCAGAGGGATGCTCCCCAGAAGACAGCCGCAGCAGCCCCGCTGACAGATGGCCAGGGAGTCATCAGGGCAGAAGAGGGAGGAAGGGGACCGAGAAGCACAGAGGGTGAGATGGGCGAATCCTGGTGATGCCCTGGATGTGAGGGGCGGCGGGGAGGTAGCCCAGCAGTGGTACCTGGCAGCTGGTTCCAGGGGTTTGGAGCTAGTGAGCTCAGTGTGTAAAGTATGTCAGCCCTACACAAGGGCAATGCCATCGTCACGATTTATATTGGCCTTCTGCTACACTTCCCAACATGTTATGCTTTTCTGGCTTATTCTACCACCACCCTGTGTTTGATTTTCATTAGGTTTATATGTGTTTTGTGTTTGCTGCAAGACCTCTGAACTCCATGCCTTCTGCCTGTCTCTCTCCCAGGAGGGAGCTCGGCCCCTTTGGGGTGAAGGTGACAATAATTGAGCCTGGTGCCTTCAAGACAAACATGAGCAACACTGAGAGGATATTGCTGAATATCCAGGAGGTGTGGAACCAGGCCCAACCTAAGATCAAGGAGACCTATGGCAGACTGGTTTTCAAGTGATTCGACTCTGATAGCAGAGACTTATACAGTCCAGATATTCCCAGGAAGAGAGGCAAAAGGTGGCTTAGTTGGACCAAATTTCCTGAAGTAAGGATGAGCCATGCCCCCAGGTACTTGCATCAGTTAGATTTGGGGCATAATCATTGTGGGGTCTAGGAATTCTTAGGAACTTTCCTCCTAGCATAGAGCTGTAAAAGGGAGGACAGGGATGTGCCACTCGATTAAGAATGTTTTCTCATCCGCAACAAACATAAAATTATTATCTGGACACATTTTGCCAAAATGCAACAAGAATCTGTCAGAGGTGACGGACTGCATGTAGCATGTGCTGACTGCTTGCCACCCCCGCATCTACTACTCAGCTGGCTGGAAGGCAAAGCTGCTCTACCTACCCCTGAGCTACATGCCCACCTTCCTGGTGGACGCCACCGTCACCTGAGCCCTCCAAAGGCCAGCCAAAGCCCTGTGAAGCCAAGACTGTGGCACTTGTTTGGGTGGGGTTAAATGCTGAGTGAGAGGTAATGTGTGCTGGGGAGAGAAATACTGTGGAGGGAAGAAGCTGTCATATCATCAAGTCACCTGTCCTACCTCCATCCTCCTCTCCTGGCCATAGTTCTCCTGAGATTTCTACCAGGGCCCCAGAGATGTTAGTAGGAAAGTGCCAACTTATGCAGCTGAGAAACAAGAATCCAATAGCGCTCCTGGTTGTCTTGCTGCATGTGTGGCCACTCTAGGCTCTGAGGTTCTTGGGACAATGGTGGGACAGAACAGGGGAGGATGTGAGCTGGCAGACGGAGGTTCAGGCCACACCGTCTCTGACTGCTGCCCAACTACTCAGGGTGTGCTTTAGCCTGGTCAGTCTACACCCTGCCATAGGGTGGAAATGGCTTGAAGGAGGTCAGGGAGCTCTCCTACCTCTGAAGATACCCGTGTACATGGGGTGGGGATGGGCAGAAAGACCATTAACCTGGCTCGTTGTCCTTATGTGTCAACTTAGCAGGCATTGGCAGGAAGGTGTCTCAATAGGGGTCTTTCCAGAGGACACATAACACTGTTTCTTGTGACTTCAACACATGGAGTCCCTTTGATTATGTTGCCCTAGAAACACTTGATAAGTTCAGCCATGCTCAGAGATTTGATTTTATTTTTTTCTGTTACTACCCAAATTCTTAGTAGTGGGATTTTTATCTCTTTGAAAACTACCCTTGGATTTCAGACATACTAGATGAAATCCCTGTCTGAGTCTGAGTTTCCTCATCTGGCTCAGCACCCCGAATTCAGTCCTCAGAAATCTCAGTCTCTGACGGTCTCTAGGACTCCAGGGAAAAGGCAAACAAAGTTGACATGGTCCCCTGTGATGCAGTAATTATCTGCAAACAAAGAGGATGAGATCCCAAAGGGGGAATTGACACAGAGTCCAGGAAAGGAGACAAAGAAGAGAGGGGTGGCTGGAAAACTGCCAGAAGGAAACGTCCAGGGTTTGTGGGAGGGAGGAATGAAATGAGTTACACCAAGCGGGTGTGATAGCTTTTA